TGCTGCTGCTGCAGTTGCTGCTGCTGCTGCAGCTGCTGCTGACGGGTTGTCGGTGTTTCGCGCAGTCTAAGCGACTGTCATTCGCACAACTAATGGACCCTTAAGACGGCTAGCTAGCTAGCTAGCTAGCCAGGCACTCTGCCAGCTAGCTAGCTAGCTAGCTAGCTAGCTAGCCAGCTAGCTAGCTAGCTAGCTATATAGGCCCTATGACAGTTAGCTAGCTGCCCCCGCACACAGCTAATCCCCACAAAAGACTGAAAGCCGATGGGCATTCACTGAGGCAGCTAGCTGGTTGGCTAGCTAGCTAGCTAGCTGGGTAGCTAGCTAGCTGGCTAGTTAGCTGGCTCGCTAGCTATGTAGCTAGCCAGCTAGGTATGTAGCTAGCTAGCTAGCTAGGTAGCTAGCCGGCTAGCTAGGTAGCTAGGTAGGTGGCTAGCTAGGTAGCTAGGTAGCTAGCTGGCTAGCTATGTAGCTAGCTAGCTAGCTAGGTAGCTAGCTAGGTAGCTAGCTAGGTAGGTAGCTAGCTAGGTAGCTAGCTAGCTAGCTACTCCAAGAGCGGGTTGTCTCCCTGCCAGTCAGACGCTGCAGCTGCTGCTGGCTGGTGAGTGTTGGTGACCTTAGCGACGGTGCTGTTGTTCCTGTGGCCGTTGCTGCTGCTGCTGCTGCTGCTGTTGCTGCTGCTGTTGCTGTTGCTGCTGCTGTTGCTGCTCGGCACCGCCTCTGCGTCGTTTGTATCTGGGGTATCTTCTTCCCCTTCAGAGGAGACAGCTGCTGCTGCTGCTGCTGCTGCTGCTGCTGCTGCTGCTGCTGCTGCTTCTGCTGCAGTTTGTTTGAGTGTGGGCTCTACGGGTGTAAGTGCAAGAAGGTGTTGTCTTTTGCTGCTGCTGTACTCAGCAGCAGCAGCAGCAGCAGCGCTGCTGCGCGCCAGCAGCAGAATAGCTTCACAGTGCAGTGTATGGGGAAACATATCTAAGGGAATTGCTGCTATAGGCACAAAAGGGTCCACGCTCTCGCAAGAAGATAACCTAAAAGGAGACAGAAAAAAAAAAAAGGAGACAGACAGAGAAAGGAGACACTTGTATATGGGTATATAGAAAAAGGAGACAGAGA